TGAACTACATACACTGTAGTGGCGATACATATATTAGGTATACGGAAGCCGCTGCTAATTCGGTACATACATTTTCATCGATAATAACTAATCATATAACTTCGGAACCAGATTAACTATTAATGTACAAAACATTTACAGCGAAAAACAAAATATTTAATGTGCACTGCCTCGTAGAAGTTTGTAATTACATGCAAATGGATCACTTGATGACTTTTTAAAATTTGTTAATAAAAAGGACAAACAACAACAAAATATTATAAATCCGAAGTATTAGTGTTGTGCTTTCTATTTTTGTCCAATTGTTCGCTAATAATTCAGATAATTTAACCTCCTTCTTAAGCTGCTGTATTCAATCTAGTGCAGCCCTGAATAGTCTGAATTCGTCGATGTTTGTCATTAGCTTATATTCTTTAGTCACGAGCATTTCTTTCTTCCTCTGCCTCTTTTTCCTTCAATCTTCCCCTCTTAATTCAATTATAAAAATTGGTACTTAAAATTCCTAAATATGTAACTTATGTAGGCTGATGTCATTCACTTCACTAATTGCAGCAATTCTCTTTCTCCCCCTATTCGGCGTAATACTTTAGCGTTATTTATATGATCCGTCCAGGAAATTTTAAGGATTGTCCTGAACACCCACAATTTGAATTTGGTATTCTTTATGTGGAATTTTTCATACCGCCTCATTGACATATCTTCCCATCTGATATGTTAAAACTGCATCGTTTTTATTTGTCAATTATCTCAATCTATCAAAACTGACATTAGACAGCTATTGAAAGCGTAAGATAACAGTCGCCTTTTTAAATTTAAATAATGATATTATTTAATATATAATGACGACGGAATTATTTTTTTTAACTTTTAACACGTTTTTGACTTTTATTTTGGTTTTTTTTTATATAAAATCATTATTTTTAATAACAATGTAGTATTGCATTTTTTATTTTGTTATCAGCTAACAAAGACTATAGACCGTGTCATAAGTAATAGGGTGGCCGCACACAGAAAGAGCAAAACTGTTTTAGTCAAAATCGTTTTTGACTAAACGAGTCTGATGCTGATGTTTCCATATAAATTAAATGAGCTGACGCACACTAATTAGTCATGTGTCTAAAGCATGTTTAGGCTCATTTAGTTTCAGTCAGTCTGTTTGATGTTGATTACCAGATCGTCGTTTTGTGTCGAAACATCTCATTGTACGCAGGCGCAACGTGTTTTTGGAATTCCCTTCTTGAAACCGCTCGAGTAGTCAACAAGAAGCATATGTGGAAACAGAGATATTTTGCTTGTTTATATTGTGTGTATCATGGATGTGGACGCAAAAAAATTAATTGTACTGATTGAGGCCAGACCTCCTTTATATAACTATCAATTAAAAGACCCTTAATTGTTGAAGCAAAGATTGGAGAGTTTTTTTAGCAGTTCTTTTCTCATTTATAGGATGCACCCAAAATTGTCTTTTATTTTGCGTTTTTTCGTCCTTTAGGAGGAACCACTGCCAGAAAACTAGTGTAATTTCGTCGTTATCTGTCGAAATCTTTAATAAAACTGATTAAAGTATGGTTTATGCAAACATTTTGTTTCTCTTGAAAACAAAATGTTTCTTGTGGAAACAAAAACGTTTTCGTTTCAAACAAAAACGTTTTTGACTAAAACAGTTTTGCTCTTTCTGCTTTCTTTCTGTGTGCGGCCACCCTTAGGACACTAGGCGTCGGTTAATAAAATATTTTCAAAAGTAGAACTTTATTTTGAATAGTATAAAGAGAAACAATTTTTTTTGTCGTTAAGGCACAGTCCTACATTTGTAGCGTTTTATATTTTAGATTTCTGTAATACACCCCTGGTTGTTTTTACCAAGAAAACGATCGTTAATATAGGAAGTTTTTTAAAAATATTTCGACGAAGTTAAATGTATGTTGTAAATATTTCAAGTTTTTTTGACGAGATTGTTAAATGCGTAATAACGCTGGAAATATTTTTTTATCTCTGTTACAAAGTCAGGTAGAACTCCGGTTTAAAAACTACTTGCTATTTTGTTACTTTGTATTATGTTATATCTATTTCGACAAGTTTTTTGTCGCATAAATGGATTATATTTTATGATGCCCCCTAATATAAAAAAGAGGTTTTATTTGTCTTTTATCGTTAGGAACGAATAATAAGGGGAAGATTGTTTGTTTAGGTTTTGAGACGTAAAGGGGACATTGATTTGGCGTCGAATTTGTAAAATTTAACGCGGATAAGGAGTCCAAGAACAGATTTGAAACGGGGCAGACTGTGACAATAGGAGTCCAAGAACAGATTTGAAACTGGGCAGACGTGTTACAATGTAGGGTCTAAGAAAGATTTGAAACGGTGCAAACGTTTACGATGTATAGTGAAGCGACAGATTTGAAATGTAAAATGTGGGGCAATTTTTGAATCGAAGAGTCGATTCAATTTTTTTTTTGATGTCTTAAGACCAGTTAAAATGATAATACTTTTTGCTTTGCATAAGCAACTTTGTCAGAGTAGTCATTAAAAGATTGGAATAGAAACTGGCAATTTTTGAAAAGTATGGTATAGAATGTCCCCGTAGTAAGCTTGATGCTTCCACCAGGTTCCTGTTTCAATCGTTTCTGCCTGAGTATATAAATGGTTCTTTGTTCCTGTTGGAGAATATGTCCAGAGATGTAGCAAGTTTTTCCTTTACAAAGTTAAGTGATTATGTGAATTAAGGTAACAATTTAATATATTAATTTTTCCAAGTTATAAAGACATTTTTAATAATTTGCTTTCAATAAAATAAAAGAATTTGTAATAATTAAAGTTTTATATTATTTTTGTCGTAGCTCAAAAATGTCATATTTTATTCTGATTTAAAATGTTATGTTGTCATATGACATTTGCTGTAATCCATTGTTTTTGTAAAACAATTTCAATTTGATTTTCATATATAAAAGATATTTCATATATAAGGTTAAATTCAATAATATTTTCATAAAAAGGATATCCATAAAATTTTGATAATCTAAATTGGCCATATATAACCTAGGAACCATTTCAGAATTTTTGTAACCATTTCTTTTGTAAACAAATAACACGTAAGTTTTTGTTAATTTGTTATATAGTATTGCTCTTGTATAATATGTATTTTTAAAAACTGTTTTGTTTGAGACAAAAAAAAAACGTTTAATTTGTTTCTCTGATCCATTTTGAGTTTTATTTGAAAAAGATATGTTTTTAATGTTTTGATTTTTTAAATAATTATTTCCCTAGTTACAACTAGTGGTTGTAATAGGTATAATTAGGCACCTCAAGTGGCGCCCTATATTAAATTCCCTCAGGTGTTTCCTGTTTATTTTTATTTTGTTGATCCCAAGATACTAAGTACCCCTTTATTTCTTTTTTTTGTAGTTGCTTCAATCCAACCCCCATATCTTTAACTTATCCACGACCCCGCTCTCCAACAACCCTCTGAGTCCGATTATTTTGTTTGCCCAATCTTCTCCCCCATGTTCTTACCATGAGGTAAGCAAAATAGTCGTTACACATTACATGTTGAACAGCTCCAGGAAGACTTGGGTGATTCTTTTCGAGTGCTGCAAAGGGCACATCTCCTTGGTTTCATGTGAATTGGCATATGTGCACATTTATCAAATCGGATTTCTAAGGGTACCGTGCGCTTGAAGTGGTTTACTTCAGTGTCATTAGCTCTTTTGCGTCCTCTTCTTGGTACGTCAGGTTGGGCGCCAATAAGTCCGTTTATGACTGCTAACCTAAACATCTTCAACGTAAGCGATTGTCCGTCGGATCTTCTTTTGAAAATAATAAAGGCGTTTACTAACGACACGTCCAAAAAATACCAAAAGATACGGTGCCACCATTTCTTCGATTTTCTGTCAACTTCATAAATTGACTTTAGCATATCCATTTTGTCAACAAAACCCATGTTAGCATTATAGTCCTTGACTAGTATTGGACAAACAATGTCCTCCATAGTACCATCTTTTCTCTTCCTAGACACTGTTCCAATATGTTCGGGATTATGATAATTACTTATAAACAAAACATCCTTTCGGTATTTTCATTTCATAAAAACTGTACCATATTTGCTAACTCGCCAATTTGACTCCCTCTCGCTAATTGATTGTCCGCTATATCCGTTGGTGTGTTCTGTTTTCCCTTTCTTGCTGTTCCACACGCGTAAATTATGTCTTCGCGTAAGTTTTTCATTAGTTCCACAGAATTGTCGAAATAAACATTATGGCTCTTTCTACCAATTTACGAGTAAGACCTTTTACGACTCTAGCTCCTAATTTTTTTCTGTCGTATCAGGCAACTTTTCCTATATAAACATCGAACTGGCATAAAAATCCGGATTCGTCGGCCCTGATCCAGACCTTGTAGCCTCTTTTTGCGGCTTCATTGGTAAATATTGACGTAAGGAACTACGTTCTTTAAATTTTATCATTGACTCGTCTATTGCTTGATTTTCTGAGGGATTATAACAAACAAAAAACGATTCTGATAGATGATTCAGTAAAGGCCTAAGTTTATATAGTTTGTCATAGTTGGCCGCATGTCGTTTAGGTTGAAGAGAATTGTCGTTTAAATGTAAGTTTTTGATCAACCACACAAACCGATCTCTTGGCATACAAGAACTAATATACACATCTCGAAGATCCGCTCTGGAAGACCAGTAGTCTCTCAGACTAGGAAGTCCCTTTATTCCCATTAGTAAATTCATTGCTAAGAATACCCGCATTTGTTCTGCATTGGTTTGTGTAAATCTATTCTCATCACCGTCGCTATTTTGGACCGCATATAGATTTGTTTGAAAGACAATATTATCAATAAGGTCCTTTGTAAAGAGTTGAAGAAATACATCCGTAGGAGAATCAATATTGTCTGGTATATTGGCGCCGACTGGTTCATTAATTTTTTTTTATAGGGAATGCAATTTTGGGAGTCTCTAGTCCAAATTGTATTTGAAAGAAAATATTTCCTTCTACGTATATAACAAGTATCATCATCGTCACTCTCATCTGCTTCAATTTGATTTGTCTCTAAGACGTCCTCAAGTTGGTTTTCCACTGAAACGGCGTCTTCAAAGATAATCGGCAAAGACTCTATATCAAAAATACTTTGATTCATATTTGTTGTTAAATCTGTTTCCTTATCGTCATCGGAGCTGTCATCAATATTTGAATCTACATCAGATGGATTATCTTCAATAAGAGTAAAGATTTCCTCTTGAGACATACGTTCCAAATCGGCATAGAATGTTTATTTTTGCCTGGAACAAAAAAGCATGCATTTGCCTTGTGTCCCAGCACTGCCACCACCATAATTACAAGGTGTAAAATGTACTAAATTCATCAATGAACATTACCACACAAATACAAACAAATATAGGTTACCTTTACAATATATTTTTAGAAAAACTTACCGGCCATTTTATTAAAAATCTTGAAAAACTCATAAATATTACAGCACCATCAACCACGTGCTAAGCCACTGTAAACATACCACTATAAAAATATTACCAACGGTCAGCGAAACAAAATTTGATGTGCGACTCGTTGGAGGGGATCTCGACAATCCACATATTGACTGTGTCTAAACGACTACAGCATAAAAATTGTTTAAAATGTGTCTTAACGCTTAGCCCACCAGTACACAAAGGGTTAATAAATAATAAATTTAAAATATTTTTAAATGTCCATTTTATGTACCCTGTAAACAATAATAAAAGTACCAAGACCTAAGGCTGCCTGCTTTTACAATTTTAAGTTTGCTTGCTTGAGTTAATAAACCCGTTTTACAGTACTCTAACAGGATTAAAGATTCATGTAAATCATCATTGAGTTCAGTTACAGTGACGTTCTCTGTATATATCAAATATTCAAATATACAGTACTTGTCCTTGGCAATATTCGCGAAATGTTGTATTCGCCACTGAAGGCACATGGCTTTAATACTTTTCCCTTGATATTTGCCACTCTACACGTTGATATAATATAAAAGCTTTTATGCATTACCCTAATATTATAAGCCCCGAACACTCAGACGTTTCACGATTAACCAATACAATATCAATTTGAACCTAACGGTTTTATGAGTATTAAATTTATTCGTAGCATCTGTTAAATATTAGATATATCTGAATATATCATTCCCAAAAGATTTAAAAGTTTTTTTAATGGTGCAGTGATAGGATTTTAATAGATTATTTAATTTTAATAGACGTTTTGAACATTATTTCTTGAATCAACTTAGTTAATTTAAAATTTTAGATCGTGTTAATTTCTTAAAAGATATTGACAACTAGTCGAAGAATCGAACAACTCATGTATATTTTTGTATATTTTTATAAAAAATAAATTTTTCCGAGATGTTTTTGTATTTCTTTAATGTAAAATTATGAAAAGTTTTATTTAAAAAATTCTTTATAAAAGGTATACATATTCTAAAATTGCCCTTTCTGGTTACATGGCAGGTTTTCGGACTAATAAGTCCATCATCAGTGCAGTTACCAGGTATAAATGGGGAAAGCCACTAAGTATGTGGGATAAAAACCCTTTTAAATGATGTTAACTTTGTTTTGTTGTTAATTTAAACACAGCTAACATCATTTAATGGGTTTTCACCCACATATTTGGGGGCTTTTCTTATATATACCTGGTAACTGCACTAACGATGGACTTATTAGTCCGAAAGCGTTCTGTGATGTAACGAGAGGGCAATTTTGATAATATACAGTGCTCAACAATTGATAAGGATCAAATATTTTACGCCAGAAATATTCGGTGTTTGTAAAAATTTATTATAATTAAAATAATATTAAAACTCCAACTTTGTTGTCAATTTTAAATGAAATAAAATTAATTTTGTTATTGTGGTCATCCGTTTTTTTTTTCTTTTTTTACTTTCGTCAGCAAAAAGTTTTATTCAGTCAGCAAAAAATATTAAAGTCGTACATTTTCATTTGATATTAAAATGAGTATTTTTGATAGACCTTGAAATCGTTATGTTACAAATCGTGTAGCCTCATATGTTCATGGTGGAGGAAGACAACGGAGTGCCAACCCTATTGATGACCTATATATGCGAATTATTGCTAGACGGAACCCAACATATACTGCTTTTCGCATCCACAGAACATTGCGTAACGCCACTGGAAGAATAATTACTTTGTAACATCGGAAACCTTTTTTGGATGGTACTAGAAAGGTCACCACTAGAGACACTGTGGACGACAGCCAGATGGTTGGTGGAGAGCGAGTCGTGGGTTCGAAACTAGCTTTTGGAACCGGGAATGGGTCCAAGGGATGAAATAAGTAAAGATAGGATAGGATAAGATCTATTAGAAAAGATACAGAAATAAACAAAAGATAGGTAAAATTACCAAAGATAAGATAAGATAGAAAAAGGGAGCCACTTAACTTTTTGGGGTCAAAGGGGAAAATTAAGAAACCTAGAAACGAAAAGAGGTAAGGAAATATATTTAGGTTCTGAGACCAAATCCAAGGAAAGATATCAACAGTTAATTATTAAATAAATTTGGTCAATACACTACATAAACAAATAATAAATATATTAGGTGGACTCCGTCCACTCACTTACTCACTACGAAACTTAATCAGCCTGATCTTTCTTCTGGTCGAAGGTATAATAATAATTGAAGCTAAAAAGCAAATATTCAGAGTAAATATTTTATCAGGAAACTTGTTAGGAGTCGAGAAATAAAATGCATTGATAAAACAAAACAATATATTCAACAACACAATTTAATTTTGGTTCAATCTAATGATTTTAAATCTGAATATAAACACAAGTAAAACAAATGCACTATCAAATGGTGGTATACATATAAAAATAAACAGTATTATGAATAATAAATACCTTTACAAATACAATACAATAAAATCATGCACAAATTAAGTTATCAGCGAAGAGAGCCTGATAGTGATTAAAAATATTCAACTAAAACTGATTCAAGGAATCTCTCTTTGCTGTTTATGGGCTTATCTCGAGATAACGGGTTAAAAATGTATCACAATTATAGCAAATAACAAAATTGATTAAATTTAAATTCTAAAGAATACCAAAAGATTACTAGAATTCTGAATTATAAAAGTTAAACCAACCGCACTTGTTTAAGTTAATTATCTGTTCGCACTGTTGTTTAATGATTAACTGTTCTTACTGAGAATTAAATGTTCGTAATAATTATTAGTAAGGAGTTCTTAATAGCTGATTGAAAGTTCGTATGAAAGAATTAAATGTTCTTTTAATTGAATGCTAAATCAGTAGTTAACCTTAACTACACGTGAAGAAATGATGAACGCAGATTCGCCCAGATAGTTGAAGGTAATATGATTACGATAACTTACGATAAATCTCGATGACTGCTTCACTATTTCACTGTTTCTACTATAATACTTTACTTGTATTAAGCACTAAAGTTAGTTAAATTAAAGGTAGTTTATATCAATATTTATTCTAATATGGTATTAGATTAAGAAACTCAAATATTTAAGTGTATACACACTTAAAGAAAAAATTCACAGAGACGGTAAGATAACACAGAGATGGTAAGATAAGCAAGCGTCCTTACGAACAGACCGCCCTGCTAGAAGTGACTTTCTTCCACTCAAAATTTACCAAACTACCCAAAGAAAGGTGGGATAACTCCACTTAAAAATGACAGGCCAGCCTGTATCCATTTCTAGGAAGATAAAAGATTCGACGTAAAGAACGGTACTAGTAATTGGAAACGTGAGAAACAAAACTTTCTGAATTATGTTCTCTCAGAAAAATACTATAACGTGCTTTCGAAGATGTTTACCAAGTTTATAAAAAAAACCGCCTAAAGCCGGACAAGGATAACCCAAGGATTAACCAAGTAGATTCTTTCGTAATCTGAGATGTCAGCAAGTTCCAATAAAATTTAACACACTATTTGGGAATACGATCATGGGCGTATCAGCAACAGGGGCAAAGATATTAAAAATTGTAGAGTGCCGGGGCAAAGTGATCTAAGTGCCAAAAAACATTTTATTGGGAAAACACAAAAAACCGTTTTTGAATCAAATTTATTGTCGTAAATCGTTTATTTAAAAATAAAAACTGTTAAATTAAGTCATTTTAAATATTAAACATGCTTCAAATATAACACATATTACAAAAAATGAAAATGATAAAGTGCTTAAACTGTCAAAATGTTTAAAAAATATTGTTTATTGTCATCATCGAGAAATTGCAACATTGCAGTAATGTCTTTCTTTTTAGATTCTTTTAAAGGTAAGGAATTTGGAAGAGAAGACAGTGTAGCATTTTTGATGGTAGTGGCAGTAATGCCAGGTTTTAGGACTATACAACTTTCCCACGGTGCTAAATCACTGTAACTTTTCTTGTACATGACGGTCCCAGGGTTGTTCTTTGAAACTCGAATCCAAACAGCTGTAGAAATTCCAAGTTTGGCTGTATTCAGAAACGCGGAAGAGGCTGCATCAAAATCAAAAAACGTTTTCTCGTCACCCATGTTCAGAACTTTGTAAGGACGTGAAGGTCTCGCTGTGACTATCGCCTTCATAACATCCTGCATATTAATTAGCTTGCATTGTCTTGCTCTTTTTTCGATTAAAGCAAAATCCCGATCTGAAGCTGAGAACGAATGACCTGATACAAGAAACTTATGATCAATCGTTTCAAAAACTTCATGGCAGACAAGAAAAATGTACAAGAACAAAAGCATTCTGTTTTTCAACTGACCTGCACAGTTATCACTCCAAACGCACAGATTTTTTTTGTATGTATTGAGTAGTCCACAGTTTAGTGTTTGTAAAAGGCAAGATGCCATTTGGTTGCCTCCTCTTCCTGATTGCCCCTCATGCCAAATACACATCAATCCATCATCTGTATCAGCCACGTGAATACCAAAGTTGTAACCAGATATTTGGCGGGAATAGTACATACTACTGTGAGTTAGTTTGGGTAACGAAAAAACTTTCTGCAAATCCATTGTTATGGTGCACGTGTCACTTACTGGCAAGGTGCTTCGTATAAAGTCGCTTTTTATAGATGCGAAAACAGCTTCTACTTGGCGGTGATGTAACTCAAGTTTTGTTGTCCCTGTTTTCTTGGTTGCTGGGTCAGAACTTTTGGTTGATATGCTCAGTTGATCGCATGTTTTGCAAGTATCCACTCGTGGTCGACGGAAGGATAGGTTCGGAAAATCCTTCAAAAAAACACTTCGGTAAAACTTGTGTGAAATATGAGTACAAGGATTCTTTTCTTGAAATGCCCTGAAAAGCCTATGCACATTCAGATCAGAGCTCAAATACTCTTTGTCCGACTTAAGTCGGTTGTAATGACTGACATCTCTAGGGAAGCTATTAATATGTTGTTTCACTAAACGACGATCATGGACAGTGAATTTAAACATTTTTGCACCACCTCGCTTGTCTGTGTAAATGTAATCCCCACTTTTTTTCTTCTTGACAATGGTTGTAATCCTTTGGGGAGTAACAGCAAAAATCTTCATGAATGTCTGTTTACAAACTTTTTGTAAACCTCCCTTACCATCAGGAACAGTGTAACTCATAGTGCATTGGCGTCGGCTCTCTGAATCATCATCGTAAGTACCATGACGACGTCGTGTCACCGGAAGTATCTGAATCAGTCCCATAAGATAACTACCCTGTGCATTTAAATCCAGTGAATAGTAGGACTCATGGAGTTGCATCTTCTCTATTCCAGTCAGTTCCTTACAATAGCTGTTCTTACATTTGCATTCAACCTGAAAACAAAAAAAGCAAAATATAAGGTTACATTGCAAATATTGGTTTTTGTTGCTAACGTCATTATTGCACACATACTCGAAAATAAAAATTAATACTAACCTCGTTTTTAGGTTTACGTCTTGCCGGAACTAGTTTTTTAAATTTATCGGTAGTGTACGAATTTCCACTAACTCGTGCCTCACTCTGTATTTTTCTCTTACGTTTTTTGTTTTTAACTGTTTCATCACGACAAAATGCTTGTTCATTCATTATTTCATGCAAAATAGGAATTTTAACCTTAAAACGACACGTTCCCGAACGTTTATAAGCAACTACTGACATGGAACAATACTAATAAAGAAGCATGGCACTTAGAACAGTTTGGCCGGACACGTCCGAAGGACATACCGCTAGCTTGATCATGCAGTCAATTTTTAAATTAGGTAACAGTAGAATAGGGACTTAAATCACAGTGGGGCTATTGGCGATGGCACATAGAACACTTTGAGTGGAAAAAGTGATTTTTTGATTTTTTGGCACTTAGATCACTTTGCCCCGTCACTCTACAATTGTTTAATATTTTAATTCTAAAAAAAAATGTTACAATTTCAAAAAAAAAACCGTTAGAAGAAGTTTGTATATGACTAACTTAAGACCAAGAAGACGTTTATCTCATCCAGTACTAACCAGAAAGGTCGCGGATTGAGAAGACTATGGACTACAAAACACCGTAACTGGACAATTAACGAATGAAAAAACTTTATTTACAGATGAGTCTAAATTTCAGAAATGAACAGATAAAAAAATAACAAACAGATTTTTATTAAAAGATAATGTTTAACATACACTGGAGGGCAAAATTATTCGGACACCCAGATTTTTTCGAAAAATCCGCGTTTAATAGTATATTATATAACGAGAGTTGTAAGAAGCTTATTACATGCGAGTAAAAAAGTTGCGCGCGAGCCGCGTAGCGGCGAGCGCAGTAATTTTACAAGCATGTAATAAGCTTACAACTCAAGTTGTGTACTATACTTTTTCTACCATTATTTTCGTTTATAAAAATAAAAATTAAATTACCACTATATTTACACTGACAGATTAATAATTTTTAATCTGTCAAAATAACGTCTGTTAATTCGTTTCCATGGTAACTCGACCAACTGACTTACGAGGCTTATGTGATATTACACATTTTTATAAAACTGAAGCGTAATTTTTTTTATTACGTGCTAGTCATTACGTGTCAGTATCTGTTATGATGCATTTACTTAGCATCCAAATAGTAGGTAATATACAATTTACTAGTAAGAGAGTAGAAAATAGTATATTACATAACGAGAGTTGTAAGAAGCTTATTACATGCGAGTAAAAAAGTTGCGCGCGAGCCGCGTAGCGGCGAGCGCAGTAATTTTACAAGCATGTAATAAGCTTACAACTCAAGTTGTGTACTATACTTTTTCTACCATTATTTTCGTTTATAAAAATAAAAATTAAATTACCACTATATTTACACTGACAGATTAATAATTTTTAATCTGTCAAAATAACGTCTGTTAATTCGTTTCCATGGTAACTCGACCAACTGACTTACGAGGCTTATGTGATATTACACATTTTTATAAAACTGAAGCGTAATTTTTTTTATTACGTGCTAGTCATTACGTGTCAGTATCTGTTATGATGCATTTACTTAGCATCCAAATAGTAGGTAATATACAATTTACTAGTAAGAGAGTAGAAAAAAATGTTTAAGATGTTCCCAATTGAATATTTAATAATAAACAAAATTTATAAGTAAAGTTTATTACAGATCAAGAATTTAACAAAGAAAAAATCGAGCCTTGTTGACGGCTCTCATTCGATCAGGTATGATCTTACAAGACAATTACGTCGAGTACGTCGTCATAGAATAACCCATGTATCCTCTACTGTATTTAGGTCTGGTCAATGGTAATAAAGGAATCCCAATGTCATCTAAGTAATCACGTGCTATTTTGCAATGTGCATACGAGCATTATCTTGCATCAGACAAAAGTATTCTCCAACAAATGGGGTCAATGGCACTACATGATCTTTCAAATATTGTTGAATACATCTTTTATCGTTTAAATTGTCCCCTGGAATTGTAACAAGTTCTGTACGAGCCTCTAGGGAAATGCCTGGCCACACCATTTTACGACCTCTACCAAATTGAACTCTGGGAGTAAAACAACATTGATGATAGAAGGATTTGCGATTTAACTTATGCTCCTGTAAACAACAGCTTGTGCTATTTTTGCTGGTGTCATAATTTTTGATTGCAATTATTGAAAAGGAAAAAAAAAAAAAAACTAAAGCCAAACTTGTAAACACTTAAAATACCAAAATAAACTCAAAATAATGCTATTTAATTTAAGACACTATATCACATTAATAACAAAAAATTTGTGAAGAACTGTTGTTCAAATAAGAAGAAAGTTTTTATCTAAAAACGAAAAAATACATAAAAATCTAAGTATCTGTTAATTTTGCACTCTAGTGTATTTAAACTCCCAAAAACGATTACAAATTTATTAAATTGCTGCATGATCAGAAAATCAAAAGTATGTATCTCGTATAATATTCTACTCTATCTCTTTAACAATTAGTAAAATAACTCCCAATATAATATAATAATAATACTATAAGTTTAAGACACATATTACTCTCCTTAAGGAATATTTCATACATTTACATATATAGAACTTAATTACAAAAAGTTTTCGCCCTTTCTGTATAGTTTCTTCAACATTATAAACACATCCGAAGTTTCATGGCCCTTTAATTTCTCTTTGTTGTCGTGTTGAGTTTCTTTCTTCGCACAATATTATATAATAACTTGCGTGTCAACAAAGGTTTTCCAAGTTACACGAGTTTTTGCCTGTTCTTCTCCGTCTATTCGTTTATTATTTGCTAAAATAACCCTAACGTGTCATTTAAGTTTTGTTTAATCTGATGTAAGACTGTGGCTATTACAGGAATTGAGGAAATGATGTCTGGATCCATAGATAAATTATTTTCAATATATCCACGATTGGACGCCTCTATCAATAGTGCTTAAGGTAAACATGCTTCAAAATAGTTCAGTAATATCACTCAATTTTTTAACTATCACGAGCAAAATTTTATACAGGGGAGTGTAGTGAAAATAGGTAAATGAAGTGCATTGAAAGAGCAAAAAACAAAGATTAAAAAAATCATATTACTGTAAAGCTGGGCATTCACGTTACGACTTACGGTCCCACGTAGTAGGACTACTAGTTGGATATTCGTGTCCACTCACGCTCCTACTTTGCTATCCAACTAGCGGTCCAACTTCAGTTCTAGTTTGTTTTCACGACGGTGTACATCGCTTAACCGAAAAATGTATGGAGTAAAAACTACGCAAAATATAATTAGGAGGAGGAAAATGACAGCATTGTGCTTGTTATTCTTAAAATTTGAAAAAAAAGAAGAAAAAATGTTGGATAAAAAATTATTTGTTGATCGTGTGAACTATTCTTCTTCATGTGCCAACCAGAAATACGCATTTCTGACTATTTGGTCGTCATCAGTACGGTGCATCCAAGTTAGACCAGGAGAAAATTAACTTGGAAAGGATCACTATAGGAACGATGCGACCAATTTGTGGAAATAATGTCAGAACACACCTGAATTCCAGAGCTACAACTAACATAGGCATGGACGAAGTTGTAGCTACGTAAGGAAAGGAAGGCCAGGTACATTTTCGAAAGACAAGTTAGTGTTCTTTTTTTGTTTTCAAACCCGGTCCGGTGCTTAATTCTTCTGATACTCATTTCTTTAGTTTTGTGGCAGGAGGTTCTGGGATATATTATCTGCATAATTTGCAATTTTATGTAGAATATTATCAAACTCCATGTCGGACTCTCAGGATGTTTTTTATTTAAATTTAAATTGGACATTTTGCTTATGTCTAGTTGTCGTTATTTTTATTGTTAAAATTAAAATTCCTCGCAATTCTTGTATTCGAATTAAATGCGTTTAAAAATCATTTTTCGTTTATATTACCCTTTTGAACTCTAGTTAATTTCAATGAAGTTATAGCATCATTTAGTGTATCAGCTTTCGGATGGTTATGAATTTCAGGAACGTTTTTAAAAAATGGAACCGGACACTTTCATTCCAACAAAGGCAAGGAGAAATTGTAAAAATATAATGATGCCTGCGGCGTTGAATGCTAAACCAACTTATTAAAACTTAGTCAGTTTAATTGCTCATTTATATTTTGCCTGCCCTGAAAAAATTACATTATCTCCAAGGTACGTTTAAATTTTATGGAATAGAATAAAAGAACAACGTTTTATATACTTATTAAATTAATGGATGCTTAATTAGACTATTCTTTATTATTATTAATTTTATAACTAGAGCAATGAACATTGATTTTTTCTAAATTTATTGTAATGATACTTTTATTATTAGTCTACATTTTCGGTGTAACACACACGGTTTTAAGCACTTTATGTACCTTTTTTTAATTTGTATCTGAGATATATTCACTCTCTATTTATCTTTCCATCTTTTGTTGTTATGGCAAGAACATTTTTGGCTGATTTTATTCAGTTTTTATTTGCTTGTCTGTGTTCATCTTAGTAGATTCGTCTTTGGACGAATCGTCCTTGTGATTGCTTCGTACCAGGTGTGGAATACTCCCTCTATATCGAAAATTGCACCCAACATCAACTCTGGGTTTTCCAGAATGTACTCCACCTTTGTACGAGAAGGTGCAGTACCCTGACCATAGAGAGTCCTGATTGATACGAAATTTCTGTCCCTGATGTATGATTCTTTTAATTAATACATTATCCTTAATGTGCCTATCAAGCAGTTTTTTAGGATCTTCTTCTTCCTCTTCCTCTAACGGTACAACCCGCTATGGGTTTTGGCCTGTTCACCAATTGCATTCCATTCCCTTCTGCCATTGCGTTGTAAGTATTTCCCTCCTCTTCTTTTATTACCTGCTCTTGCTTTTGGTATACTGTTTTTGATATGTTGCTACAGCCCTTCCACAACTAGTAGATGTTCGTCTCTATTTAAGTCCTTCTCTATTGCATTTTTATACCTTGTTAGATTTGCTTCGTTGCCCAGTTCACTTATTTTCTATTTTTTTGCTTATATTTTTGTACATATGATCGTATCTTTTTCATTTATTGTATATTATCATGGACGTATAAACACAGATGGACTCAGTTATTTACATAAAATTGTGAAGTCAAAATTATTTGAAT